TTTGAATTTTGAACTCTGGGCTTTGGAAAAGATCAAAAGGAATTTCTCTTGATTTGCCTGGCAAAGATATGATGGGCACCTATGGCCAGGGCAGAGACAAGGCCTTGTTTTATAATCTCCTCCACTCTGGTATGCATCTATGACCATCCGTGTATCCAGTGCATCCTTGAGCCGCCAGGCAGATACGGGAGCACCCGGCAGAGGGTATCAGCATGTATTATGAATCACAAGAGTATGTAGCAACCCGCAACCCTGACATCCTATGTCATTGTGTTTCGAGCTTACAAGATACTGGATGGGGTATAATAGCAGCACCGAAATCCTGCCGCACCCAACCAGACCAAAACTTGGACCCCGCAGAAGCATGTTCTGTCGTCCAGTAGCACAGCCCGCAAGCGGGTGACGTATTTAATTCAAATTTCGTCACTTCGTTTTGCGGGTGCGCAGTCACTGCGGAAGTGACGAAATTTTGTAGGACATGAAGCTGGTTTGGACTTGTCTCCTCATTGCAGTCACTTCTTGGTTCGGAGCGGGGTGGGGATTACTTCCGTCATTGTGTTTCGAGCCTGACAGGATATAACTTGATGGGCTGGCTGGCTGTATGATAGGCGCAGCACCGAAATCCTGCCACACCCCGACACCCTGACAGACGTATCGCGATCGTTTAGAGTCCTCGAGATACTTGGCTGGTGTTGAAAGATGACGAACCATGCGAATGCCAAACCCGACCAAAACTTGGACCCCGCAGAAGGACGTACTGTTGTCCAGTAGGACATGAAGCTGGTTTGGACTTGTCTCCTCACTGCATCCATATCTTGGTTCGGAGCGGGGTGATTACTTCCGGCATTATGTTTCGAGCCTGACAGGATACTACATAGATGGGTTGGCTGGCGGTATGATAGGCGCAGCAGCGAAATCCTGCCACACCCCGACACCCTGACAGACGTATCGCGATCGTCTAGAGTCCTCGAGATACTTGGCTGGTGTTGAAAGATGACGAACCATGCAAATGCCAAACCCGACCGAAACTTGGTCCTCGCAGAAGCATTTTACTGTCGTCCAGTAGGACATGAAGCTGGTTTTCAGCGGCAGCGTGGTTTTTTTTTCGCCTTTGCAACACCTTCCTGCGACTCAAAAATCACGCCTGTGAGACTAGTGAATGGAGTGTCAGGCACCAATCATAAATACACTTTTCAAAACATTTTTGTAATTTTTTGGAAACATTTTGCCTTTCTTTGAAAAAAAAAAAAAAACCAAAACGTGTCCAAAGGAGCCCATGGACCTCCTTTGGACATCAGAAATTTCATGAAAAACATTTTCAAGCGAATTTTACTGTCTGTATTTGACAAGTACTGCAATTCAATTAACCCTCTGTACGATTCAGTAGCAGTGCAGCTCCGATGGTGGTTTGGGTTCCTGGTCAGTCCCGCTGGATGCCTCAGGGTCTGGCCATCCCCTAGCTCCCCCACTTCTTCCCCCCCATCAATTTTTTTCTGCTTACATATCTTTTGGCCGTCATGAACATGCGCCGCCTCAACGGCGATGCGGGAGGTTATCTGGAGGCAAGTTCAAGCCAAATCGATTGAGAAGGCAAGTTCGAGCCGAATCAATTGAGAGATGGTTGATGGCACGCAAATGGTTTATAATTGTCACCCTGTTTCTGAATCCGTTTTAGAAATGTTTTGGCGCGAAATACAGCGCTTTCAGAATTAAAAAAATCACCCCCAAAAATTTTCAAAAACGTTTGAAGAATTTTTCCAAAAAACTGTTTATAATTAGCGCCTGATGATTCTTCTCGCTGTTATGGTGTCATTTACATGTGCTTATTATTCCCCTAGAAAAAGTAATGAAGTTTTCAAGTTCTGTTTAGGACTGGCTCACCTCAAACCACATTCCGTTCTACAGAGATAAGCCTTGCAACAAGTGTTGAGGAAAAGCGGTGGGTAGCACAAATGAAGTATTCCAATCCGAGTGGATTTGATTGCTGTGATAGCTATGGTGGTGACATGAGGCTGAGCCTGTTGAAGGTCATGGGATCCTGCTTTGAGATCGGCTTGTGGCTGCCCTGCCGGCAAAGGTTCGCCGTTCGGGGGATGAGACCAGGGCCGGGCTTCTTGGGCATCCTGATTCCTATGGCTCCGAAGGGAGGGCAAGAGGGGACGAAAAGTTTCTTGATGCGCAAGAATTCCGCCCGACGGGACGGAGGGAGTCAGATTTGGCAGCGAGATCGAGGGTATGTAGCTCCCAGGGATCCGTTGGGTGCCCGGTCGGGCCGTCTCTTTCCTCACTCGCCGAGCCATCTTAAGCATGTGAGTTATGCTCCGGTTGGAGGTTTCTTGTGAAGGTGTCTTCTTTCCTTTGACCGTTGACGGGCCTGCGCCTGGTAATGACATACATATTTATATTTGTGTACTCTCTCACAGGAGTGATGGATTGGATTAAAGTTTCGGAGAACACCGCCGGATGGACAATGCTCATTACAGATACATACAAAACCCACTCGAGCTTCAACATCATAAATAGCTTCCTCCCACACAAAACCAACAGTTCGTGGCACATACTACAACTATTCAGGCCAACGGTGGATATTCGGCTGAGGACGAACACCGGGTCGAGATTCGAACGAGCATGGCGAAAACTTCATCGGCGAATACCGATAGTCAAGCGACCGCTATTCAACAGGTTCGTCCCATTCCAAGACGTTTCTTCTTTCCTCTCGCACCTCTTGTTGACCAATGCAACTTCCCATTTCTGTGTCGACAGCCCCTCCTACTCGAGCCAGACTTTCCACTCGATCAATCCCAACATCCTGCCCTGCAGAATAATGGACGTGATTCTTACAACAATCCCCCGACTCCGTTGCCTCTCAAGCAGATCTTTGTCCTCTGTCTTATGCGTCTAACAGGTCGGTTCCTGCTTCAACTATTAACTTAACTGACCGCGTTAAAATCATACATTGAATCCACAACTGACTCTTTTTTTTTTATTTCCTCACAGAGCCCATTTCGTTTACCGTCATCTTTCCATTTATCAAGTACGAAGAAGAAAACAACTACATTATATGACAATCGGTTATATGAACAAAAGCGCGCAAAGCTGATGTCTGTTCCGTTGATTTCTGAAATTTATCGAAAAAAGCAAAATGATAGAAGATTTGAATATTGTACCTCGGACCCAAGTTGGAACGTATGCTGGAGTAATAGAAAGTATGGACGTTTAATGTTTTTCCATTTCCCAAGCAATATCTTCAGCTGATTTGGAATTATCGAGCAGGTCTCTTTGCCCTTTCCCAATTTTCTACCGGTTCGTGCCCCACATACATCCCGCCACTACCTGACTTGCGTTCCTCCTGGACTATGTAGATCAGAGCATTTATTATACTGAGCAATTTCTTCTTAACCGACAAAAGTGCTGTTTTGGGGACGATTGTCGGACCGGATTGGCCGTAAGCCGGTGCTCTTGACCGGCTTGATGGGTCTGTCCATTGGGATTATTCTCTTCGGCTTGCAGCGAACATTCGTTGGCTTGGTGATTGCCAGATCTTTTGCTGGCGCCATGAATGGCCAGTCTAAAAATCCATTCTTTCTCTGAATCATCTCGCCACACTCATCTACAGCTTGGCTGATCCTCTCCCTCCCATCTCCGCTCGTCGACCACAGGAAACATCGCCGTGGTCAAGGTGATTAGACCGTTTTCTCTCGTCCAAACATACTACAAGACTAATCTCTTTGCGTTTACGAAAATAAAAAGAGCTCGATGGCTGAGATCACGGATGAAAGTAACAAAGCCCGGTGCGTATCTGTGCTTGCTCGTCTCCCTTGAAATCCACAAAATGCACCATTCTGAGCCTTCTTTTTTTTCTCCAGGGCTTTCCCGCTTCTTCCATTATGTTGGGCCATCGGATTAATGATTGGCCCGGCGATTGGTGGATACACAGCCGAGCCCGCCAAGCAATATCCGCACTCGATCTTCGCCAGACACCCCTTCTTCTCGACCTACCCTTACTTCGTCCCTTGTCTTTTGGCGGGACTCTTTAACATCTTGGCTGTCGTCCTGGGCACACTGTATTTGGAGGAGGTGTGTGCCATCATCCTTCTCAACTAGCACTTCCTTCTTCAGGCTTCCTGAGACGACTTTCCAAGTCTTAAGGTTAATCAAAATAGATTTTCTTCTCCCCTTTAGACTTTACCAAGTAAAGTACTGAAGGCACAGAAACGATCTGCTGAAGTCTCTCATGATGATAGTCTGGAGGACCAGGAAAGACCAGATCCGGCTGAACGAGCCCGAACTTTGAAAGAATTATTGACAAGTGACTTGGTGACTCTGTTGATCAGTTTTGGGTTCATGGCTCTTGAGAATTCGGCTTGGATGGCAATCGTCCCATTATTCTCATACACCCGTAGGTAGTTCTCCCATGTTGCTTGTTAAGCGTTTTGGAAAGAGTACCGTCGAACCTGCCATTCCAATCTTTACATTTGTTGAATTCAGGCGTGGAAGATGGTGGGCTCGGATTGACTCTCGATCAGATCGGTCAGTTCTCTGTCTTAACCCGCCTGACTAGTAGCTCTTTACACGGTAATCTCGAAGGCATGCTGAGTCGGTCCGTCTAATTTTACACCATCATCAGGCTTGACGCTCAGTTCGAACGGAGTCGTTGCTCTGGTTGTTCAGAGCATATTATTTCCCATATTGCATCGTCGGTTGGGGGTGGTCCATTTGCACCGGATCTCGAGGTTTTCCTCTCCCATAGCATTTGTCGGTTTGCCCATGGTTCGAACCATCTCTCTTCTATTCCCCGACAAATCTAAGGCTACCTCTGTAGCAATCATCGGAATGATCGTCATTATTGCTATCAAGAGCGTCGGAAATATGACCATAGGTCGGTCAAATTCACTGTGCTGTTGTCTGGAGTAGCGATTTAATTTACTCTGTTTCTTTCCTGTTTGGTTTGATAGTCTGCATGACCCTGTTGATCAATGATTCCGCACCAAATCGCGCTTCTCTCGGCTCTATCAATGGACTCGGCCAAGTTGCGTCCTTCTTTTCCATCATATTTTCTTTTTTTCGAGCACACTCAGCAAGATCGATTAGCTGAAAGCTGAATAGATGGTTTGTCTTTCTAGTCAGTCTCCTCCTTCTCAAGGGCTATATCCCCTTTCCTGGTCGGGAAGCTATTCTCAATCTCTTTGGCCGCTGGGAAATCTCCTGAAAATTCGGCCATTCAAAAGGATTTGATTTGGTACTATCTCATTATTGTGAGCAGTTTCCACCTTTAACCTTCTTTGTTCTCAACATTACAACACCAAAGAAGGCTTGGAGAAGGTAGTGTAAAAGAGCGATCTCTAATACGGTCTTGAAAATCACCTCCGGTAAATTCAGGTTGCGTTGATTGGATATTCGACTACTTGGATGATTAAGCCTGTCCAGAAGGAACCGATCCGGAATCCAGAACGAGAACCGTTGTTAGACAGTGAAGACGCTTCGACAAGCAGGCTTCCCGGACGTGGGGAAGAACAAAGATTGATAACGGATGCTGGATCCAGACCGCACTATGGAACTTGATTCAACACCTTACTTTTATCCTTTTTTTTATTTGGAAGGTCACATAGACGGAACCGAAAAACATTGTTGTATATCAGCTTGTAAAACACAAGGAGGCATGGCTGTTATTAGTTGGGTCATCGTCAAGTTCGCGCCTGAATCGGCATCGTCATAACCTCTCATATCTGTTTGGAATATGCAGCACGATCGCTCATCTTCTCTTCGTAGCAATTGCCATCAAGCAAACCCCTTTTTTCATTTCGTTGCAATTCAAACATGACTCATCAAAAATACAAGAGTACGTCAAGTGAAAACCTCCAACCCCCAAGCAATTGGAAGTCATTTTCAGATACCAACCAAATCTATTTCTTTCAACTTACTGACAAGCTAGAGAGAGCAAACGAGTACTTTCTTGAAGGGAGAACAAAAAGGGTTACTCCGATACTTCTGAGCCGGGCAAAAGAACATGTCATCTAGACGTTTCATAGACACTAGAGAGGGGGGGGGGGGGCATCTCAATGCTAATTGACTTTGAGAAGGAACCAGAGTGAAAACTTATAAAATAGATACAATGTAATGGTCCGATCAAGAAATTTGAGAAATAAGGAAGGTACTCTGGTTGTCCATTAGTTGAACGAGTTACAAATTTTAAATGAAAAGCTTCAAAAAGAGAAGCACCTGTGTCTATATCTATCACTACATAGTATGAGATGAAATGATAAGGGGAAAAACATTTGGCACGCTATGTAGTTTGAACCCGGACAACCACTGCCTACTGCTCTGGAGTTTTGGATCGTAAATTCTGAGTAAACTTTGGGAAAATGTTGGACCTGTTAACTAGTAGGCAATCTGGGTGAAGGAGATGAGCAGTCAGAACAAGTCTACATGACTAGGTAAACGGAGCATGCTGTATAAGTTTTCTGTTGGTACTTACGTAAATTTGTTGAGATATGCAGGTGGTAATGGCGGAAGGTGTTCCATTCCGATCAGGATGACTGCACCCATGCCCATCGCAGCGTGTGGCTGATCATATTGATGCCATGTCAGTCCTCGTGGTCTTACATTTAGGATCTGGTAGAATCAATCTCATTCTTACCTGAGTGTGACAATGCATTAAGAAAGCTCCAGCAGTTTCGGCTTTCATTCTGAGTACCATCCATCCCGTCACTGTGCCGGTTGGGACGGTGGTATTGGTGTACGAGGCACCCAACTTTGTCGAGAATATAATTTCTGTGTCTCGACGGATATGCCTCTTCTTCGAGCGCGCTTCCACTGCAGCTAGCTTAGCTTCCGTAAATGGTCCAGTTCCGTGTGCGACCACGAAGAAAGCTTGGCCATGAAGACTAGAGAAGAAAATGCGCAGATGGATAAATGTCAAGTACCAGGTCGACAACCGCTGGCAGATTCGAGGCAGCTTACTGCCAAGGATGGGCCTCGGTCACACCCGCGGTGGACGCTTGATTGACTATCACAAATTCCACCACGTCGTTGAGTTTGATTGGGTAAGCTCCCAGTTTTGCATCGAAGCCATTGTTTTTTGCAGCAGCCTCATAGTCCGGTTTTAACTTGTGAGTATAGGCTGACACCAAGAATGGCACTTTTGGCTGCGTCTCGATGTACTGGTTTGTTTAATTTTTCCAAGAAAGAGGAAAGAAACACCGATTTAGTGGCTTATAGGTAAAGAGAAATCTTTCCGGGAATTCACTCACTCTTTGTCCATTGACAAACCAATTGACACGGCCATCAGCCGCCTTGAGCTGTTGGCCTTGGATGAATACTCTGCGCGTTACTTCGGCGGCCGTGGGAGCGACTTCCTTGGGATCCAGAGGCTCAAATGTCTCCGTCAACCACTTATTTCCCTCGTTAGGCAAAGGGACTATTTTCTGGAACTTCTTGAGGTCGGGTAATGGTGATCGAGAAAGATCGTGGGGCTTTGTGGTAGCCGATTTGCCAGTCGACGCTGGTGTTGGATCATCCTCATAATGAAGTACAAAGGCTCCTTGATCACGGAGCGGCCTCCATCTGGTCTCCAGTCGCCCCCAGAAATCTCTTTTAGATCCAAGCTTCTTCAGCTCTTTGCGCGTTTTGGTCTTCAGCAAGAATGAATAACGTTGGCCTGAATGGAGTTGAATGTGTTTGGTTGACGCAGGACGAACATATCCAGAATCCACTTCTATGACTGAGAGTTGTTGATGATCTTCAATGCCGAAGTATAAATAAGTAAGGACTGTGATACCTATCACCCTGATAATGAATCAAGACGCTCTGTCAACATTTCTTCAACGCCATGGGCCGCTCTCTTGCCGCCTCTGTAATTGATGACACTGCACACACCTGACTCTGTATGTCTTGCCCGGTTTGACGACAAGACGATGATGGTGACAGTCGGTGCTGCAGCCAAAGGGGCTGGTGGAATTGCAGCTTCCCAACGCATTACCATTAACTACCATGCTTTGTGGTTCGCCGAGCCACTTGAACGGCACTGAGTTTATGTCTTTCACGATCTGCTGCTCGAGGTTGTGATAATAATCGGCGAATAGCAATACGCGCTCTTCGTCATATTTGAATGGTGGCTTGTGCGCGTCCTCGACGATGAGAGCACCATGACAAGTCATCAAGTGAAAGCCAACATGAGCATGATAAATGCTACATGCGCGGCACAACACGCCAATCAGCAAAAAGGTATCCAAATCATGTCTGTATATTTCATTTTCAAGAAAGAAGTGTCAAAGAAAAAAAAAAACTAACAATGTACCGGCAGAGTTTGGCTCTAGCAAGAAGATATAGTCAAAATAGCCTCCAGCCGGAATAGCAAACTAAACAGAGGATTCACTTTAGTTATCGCAACTCTCAGCTCTACTGACAAAGGTGTCACTCACTTGAGATACTTGAGCGACCCCGTCTGAAAAGGGGCTAAAATGTTGACTCAATCCGTGCATGTGGATAGTCACAGTGTGGTCTTTCAAGAGGTTGAAGACCCTAATTTTGACCTTTTCACCCGGCTTGAAACGTAATTCTGGGCCGGGAAAGGTTCCGTTGATAACCACCGAAGGTCTCTTGGTGCAATCGGCGGATATAACTTGTTCTGAAACTTCAAGCACGACATTTCTAGAAAATTGATTTGTGCCAAAATTAGGGTAAGCACGGGAGTTTAGATCGGAATTCTTCTGGGATTGGGAGGTTTGAAAAAGGAAGGCTAGTTGGAGAGAGAAAAGGACGATTAAAATAAATGAAAAACGGGGAATTAATGCCATTAGGGAGATTAATAACTAGAAGAAGGCCAACACGACGGCGTCAGGAAAGCTTACTATGGAAAGTCTGGAGGGTCAATGGTTGCCTGTTATATGTATATTTTGTGTGAGCCCAAAGAGTGCATAGTCCACCAAATCCCGGAATAAGTTTTTACTCCACAAAGAATGATTTACCCTGCCGTTGAATATAAATATGGATACCCGCCGCCCGGCCAAGCAGTTGTGAGTGGCGTCGCAATCGGAAACCGTAACCTTGAACAACTGCGGACCTCTGTGAACTAGTAGTGTAGATAAACATGATCAATGTGGATGAAAGAATGCGCTCAAGCTCCCAGCACTTCGTAATTTGTACATGATTATCATGTTCTTTCTGTCTAGAATGTTCATTTGATAATAATATGCACCCAAGCGACGTCATATGGCTGCAGTGAAGAGAGGCTAGGTAGCGAAAGTAGGGCAAAAACCCGGAATCCTACGCCTGAATTTTGAACAAAACACTACCAATGAGGAGTGGACCCGTGAAGGCAGTCAGCAAGAATCGGGCAGTCAGGTCCGAGGGTAAGCCTTGTTTACGCGGCGACACAAGCTTGCTGCTGTATAGCGGAAGGAGATAACAGGCCAAAGCCCGCTGTCTGGTTTGGTCAGCGGGTGAGTTGAGATACATGCATACGCATGTATAGCTCAATATACAAAACACTTCAGTCTTGCCAATCCCAGGTTCCACCACCAGAGACCTTAGTGCTCAATGCCAGAAACAGGCTGTGTTGGGGTCAATCTTGGGGGAACGGAGGTTTCCAGAGGAATTTCTCCATAGAAACATAGAAGCCAAGGATGCATACAGATCACAAGTCAAACCTGCCGTCCTACAACAGCCCGCTTGCCTGCAACAACAGCCCGCTTGCCTACAACAGCCCACTTGCAGCCAGACAGCCGGTTGTTGAAACTAAAGTCTAAGCTTTATGAAAAACTCGATGGTTGAGCGGTCATGGAATTGAAGGTCAGTCATGTGTGGCGGACAAACTACACAACTCGGAGGCGAAGAGTGAGACTGTTGGGACCATGGCAGAGTGTCGTTAGGAAACCTTTTTGCAAGGATCGCTTAAAGGCATTTACTACATTTTATGTATAACAAGTGCATGGTTTGCTTCAAAAAACTGATGAAAGCAGCACGTCCATGCAGTCATATCATTTATGGTTTTGATCTAGATTCCCTCACAATCTGAGTACTTTTTTCGATAGTGTCAAAGGTTTAGGGACCTGGCCTTCCCTTTCTGTCGCCAACCAAAGTCTCGCCAACCAAAATCGATCGGATCTTATGGCTCCTGCAAGGAAAGCTTGTTCTTTCAAAAATAAACAAACGAACAACTATTTCCACTCTGACATACCCTCATCGTTAGCTTAACAAAGCTTGCCGAGGAGTGGGACCATGGTTCTCGGCTGAACGCTCTGCGGTGAGGGACCGGCTTTAGTGTTACAAAACGAAAGGCCTTCCGCCAGTGAAGACTTAAAATTGGTTTGACTCGGGGCGCCGGCTGTATAGGGTTTTGGATCCCATGTGGATCCCATGAGGTACATGTATCGCAAACAAGCTTGATGAGGAATAGAAAATCTTGAATGACACAAATGTACACGTCACTGTTAGCGCACACTGAATGTTCATGATAGACTGCGGAGAAATCTGCCCAATCATCAAACCTTTCTGCTCACTGATAAATACACAAATGCCAATCACATTACCTCTCCGATTCATGTGATCACATAGGTTTCTCGAGAGACTGAGCACGGCATGAAGAGTTCAAGATTGTAAATCAATCAGTTATCTTAAAAGCCACCTTGGCCACTTGGTTCACTGACTTGCTCACTTCAAATTGATCCAAAAACTCATCAAACCATCTAACCATCTAACCCATAACTAAGAAGGACCACCAATATTTTAAAGTTGGGCAGGGTTATTTGAGCTGACTATTTTTGAAAAGAAAAAATCATGGTTAATTAAGTGGCAAGTATTTCACAAAATTGTTTCTTACAGATTGACAACATTATTCTTATCAAATCTCATTGACTCATCTCATAATGAGCATGTTTTTCTCATGATAATTTTTTTCCAACTAAGCTTGTTTTCAAGGGGATACTGTAAATGAATGTCTACCTGTTTGACAGTTGAACAGCCAACAATATGAGTGTAAAAGTGCATGATTACATGAACAAAAGCCCAACTGTTCACCACTATGAACAACATTGTTAGGTGGCAAGGTGAGCTAGTTTTCCCACCATAATTGATTTATTGGGCCATATTCCATACCAAAATAGTTACAGGAACATTTTGCATGAGTCAACAGAATAATATACCTATGATGATTTGGGAGTTTTCTCAATGAATTAACTCTGATGAGACTGCTGATTAAGGAAGTAATTTGCCAAGCCTTCATGACAATTGTCTCTGGCATATTTTTGAATGGTTTGAATTTCATTAATTATGTTTTGCCAAACCACTCTGAATCTTCATAGTTGTGCCTTTCCTGTCACCCATCAGCTAGAATCATTATCCTGAATCTTAGACTTGACTACCACACCAAAATATACAACACATTGATTTTCTATTCCAACAGAAATAATGTATTGATTTGGACCAAGCAGGTGGAATCTAAGAAACGGTGATGAGGAGCATGAGTCTTATGAGCAACAAAGAGCTGGAAAGGAATAAAATATAAAGATCTTTTAGGAGAGACAAACCTGTGATGAGGAGCACAAGTCTTATGAGCGACAAAGAACCAGGAAGGAATAAAAGGTAAAGATCTTTTAGGAGAGACAACTGAGTGTCTACCAAATAGTGAGACGAGAATAAGTTTGAATAACATTAGAACAATCATAAAGAGAGCACCAAGCAATGATGACACTACTTACACCGGTGATGAGGAGCACAAGTCTTATGAGCAACAAAGAACTGGAAAGGAATAAAAGATAAAGATCTTTTAGGAGAGACAACTGAGCGGCAACCAAATAGTGAGATGAGGATAAGTTCAAATGAAGAAAAGAGAGAAAGAGAAGAAAACAGAAAGACAACATTATGAACGGAAAATATCCCCATGAGTCATGCACCATTGCAATCCTTCCAATGATCCTTCAACTGTCCACAACAGTCTGATCTCCAATACCGTCATCATGAAAGAATCTGCTTCAAGGAACTTCTTTTCCATCTTACATCTTATGAAATTATTATTCAAGCCTTCTGAAGAATCCTTACTAAGTTAATTCTCATTTTCCTTAGTAGATATGACAGAAAAAGTGACACATCTCTAGTTTCTGGCAAATCATTATGTTCTTAATTTGGTGATGTCAGAATTTTTTTGAGAAACCCCTATTTTTATACCCAAACTGGAACATTTCACTAATTGATTGATCTGCTCATCAAATTTGGTTTGAGTCCCATGAATTGTACTAGTGTTATAGCCACAGTTCTCAATGAGTAATAAAACTTGAGTTCTATTCAATTTAATTCAAATATTTTGAGTTCTTCTTTTTACATTTCAGTGTGTCTTGCAAATACTGATACATGATGGTTTGACGTCTGATGTACAAAAATATATACATTCATCTTGTGTGATAATTTGACGATCTGACATGTTTAACCCATCTTGTAAAAAAATTGAATTCAAAAACCGGCACACATTTGTTACCAGAGAGAGGAATGTGACCCAACAAGTAGATCATTCCAGAAAACCATCATGATTCTGTTGGATTAGGAATATGCTTATATTCATTATACAATATGCTTCAACCAAAACTCAAAGCAATCATGTATATAGTCTATAACTGATGGCGACTGCAGTTTTTCCCCAGTGAATCAAAACTTTTTTTCTCTCACTCACAAAGTGTCACTGGACTGTCAGCCGTGAACTTTGGTTTTCATCTTGAGTCACACTCAACAGATTCAAGGGGATTTTTTATTCAAAGCTTTGAAAAATTGTCACACATTTCTCTGTTTTCATTTTTGCAAGGGTCTTGAGTTCCTTTGGATGATTTCCTGAAGTGAAGCCACAAAAAGCTGCCAAGTAATCCGCTACTTAGGAAAACAATACCTATGAACCATATCAATCCAGAGAATGATCCCTTGGGAAAACCACTACATTGGTGTGGATCTGCCAAGCTTGAAGAAACAAGGGCCAAGGAAATCAGCCCTCCCAGGATGTTTCCTATTCCTCGAGTCATGGATAGAATTCCATAAGCAAAAATAGTAACTCCTGATCCGCTTTCAAGAGTAAAATTGTGCATGATGATAGAGAGATTTATATTTTGGGCTTATTTCTTCACCTGCATCCCAGAAACAATTGTTGAAATCAAAATATATCCAGAGCTTGTAACTCAGAAATATTCCCAATCTATTGAAAGGAAATAAGCTTGAAAGTAAATTTAATTCTGTGGAGAATATCTATAAAAAACCACCCAACTTCCACAATATGAATTTTAGAATGTCTGGGAAAGGTTGGGTTTCTACTCATATCCTTATCAAGTTTCATTTCAACTTGGATTTAATGCATCAATCATTGTGAAGACTTATTGGGTGCAAAAATTTGTTATATTTGTCTGTCATGTCAACTGGCAGGTTAAGAAATTTTTTCTTGCAGTGATGTATATCATTGTTTAAGAGATCTGTTACCCTATGTACCCATTGAATCCAGGGATTATACTGTTTAAATATCAAATAATGATTCTATAACTCAAGTAAAACTTTTTGTGGTTACTATTCAGCCATGCTGCTAACCCATACCATAACTGGTTCATCTGAGGAAGATTGTTTGAAAGAGGGGTTTATTGTAGTTTCAATTCCTAAAATGAAAACATAATGATACATCTCATTAGAAAAGGTCATTAATATTGCAAGAGAATCATATTAGTGTGATCTGGACATGAGAAACAGGTGATTTATAGGTCTGCAGGATTTCAGAAATATTGGCTCAAGAGTTGTTGATTCAAATTATTCAATATGGTTTACAATTACTTTGGGAATTGGTAAATCTTGGAGGAAATATCTGTGTATATGAACTTCAATGGTGACATAAAGGATTGCTTTGATTCTATCTGATTTTGGCCCTAATCTTCATTGGCCGCATTCTTATTCTATATTCAGTTAATGCTTCATCTGAAACCACAATTGACTTGTATAAATTGCAAAAGTTACAACTGAATCTCCAAACAGATTTTTCTTGCTACATTCAGGCAACACTTTACTAGAATTTTATCCATAAAAATTTTTGCCTAGTGGGTTAGAAAGAGCTGGATTTTTGTTGACTACCCATGTGATTGTACCTCTGATGTCAGCCTGCTACTAATCAGAGCCAGCCTGAACAAAGCATTTTACATATAAATTAGAGATATTATTACTTATATATGTACATACATTTAAAATAATAAAAATATACTATTTAAATAAGTGGAAGCACTATAATAGAGACATTATTACATAGTACACTTACATTGTAATATTTTAAGAGAAAAACATTTAAATAATTAAATAAATACTGGAAAAGAACATTTTTAACCAGAATCTCCTAATAACTTCTGAACCTTAAGCATAACTCAGAATATTATTGCAGATTCTGAATCTACATGCAAAATAACCTAGGGTAGCTCACCAAGTGTACCCCTGAATTATTACTCCTTCACTTACTTTGTAGTCCTTGAGTGATATTAGACTAAAATATACTGTAGACCCCTCCAGTTACATCATACTACTTGTTGTAAGGGGGCTACATGTGTAATTAAGGTTCATGCAGTTCGGGAAAAATCTACAAACAAGGTTTACATCATTGAAACCTTAACTACATGAGCACAGACTACAGTATTAAATTGTTTGGGATGATCTGTGGCCCTTTTTGGCCCAATTGGGACAATTACTCTCTTGAGGATCAACCCATGCATCATGCAGTGCTTACATAGGCTGCAGGAGTGTTACAGTTTCGTCAGAACACCCTGCAAACATGGTTACAAGCATTACATCATCTCCTTGGCACCTGTAACCAAGCTCTACAGGTGCTACAGATGATCAAAAGCTCCCATAGGCTTAGTAGGAGAGTTGTAGCAACTAGAGAGACTCCTGAGTTCGCCTCCAGAGGCCCAGAATGGGTACTTAAGAGCCCCTTCTTCCCCCTGAACTTTGTTTCCCCATCTTCATCAGTACTTACCAGCATAAACCGTCACCAACAACCAGTTTCAACCTGCCTTTTGGCCCAGTTCCTGCTGTTATCAACCTGAATTTCACTCAACCATCCAACACCTGTTCCCCAGCACTCTTCCCACACCTCTCACTCACCTTTCTGAGCGCTTCAAGAACATCCCCCCTCTCCTGAAGACCTCCTTGGCTTAGAGATAAGTACCAGTAAGTATTATCTCTTTTATTCTTCAGTAGTAGACTTTTTCTGGGTTTACTCCTTTATTACAAAGGACCAGAACTTCAGTACCACCCCTGCAACTCAGGACCTGAATTAGAGGGCACAGTAAAAAACCCCTGCAACTCAGGCCCCTCTGTAAATAAAAACTTAACAGTTTTTATTTACTATTTTCTTTTATTTTACACACACTTCCCCCACTTTTCACGTGTCACCCTCACGTGTACACATCCTATTTTTACTCTTGCAGCTAGTGTAGCTAGAAGAGTTCTGCTCTTGGCATCACTTAGCCTGACATCTGAGGACTACTATCCATGTCTTTCACTACCTTTCAGTGATCATGGATGACAGGCTACAGAAAAAATGGTATTCAGGCTGTGCCAATAACACTTTGTGGAACAATCACAAGGGGGATTGGTCATCAGGGAAACGATATCATCTTGACAAGCTGAAAGGTTTGACCGGAAAGCCAGATTGAAAATGAACAGTTTTGCAAAAGGTTTGCCTAGAGGGAGAGAAGTCAATGGAACTGGTGGGTCTGTACTGCAGAAAACATTTGAACAATCTAGTCTTTGTGCTAACAAGGCAATCCAGAAAATCGAAACTAAAGCTAAAATGTATATGAGCCGAGTTCCTCCGTGGATTCGAGTAGCGCCCGGAGGCATTAGAGCGTATGAAAAAATTGGTCCCAGTCATTACCATCACACGATCATCCTCTTAATGTGAGGGTGGAGTCATGAGGAATGAGTTTTCAATAGACTCAAAACCCGTCAACTCGTTCTTCAATAACGGCCTTTCAAACAAAAGATACCATTTGAGATGATTTGCCGTGAAGGAATAAATTAAGAAATGAGAGGTCATAGACATACGTCGTCTGATAAACTGAAACATGTCATGAATTCGCTAGGAAAACATGAATCTATTTGAGAGGTAAGATCTAAGGGAGATGATGAACTTGAGAGGTATTGAGGATGAAAAAAATCGGCAGGTAAGAGTGGAAATCTAATGAGGATCATAAATTTGGGAGGCAGGGGTTCTAACGAGGATAAAGAGATTCGGGAGGTTGGAGCTGTGATGAGCATAAGTAGATTCGAGGGGTGCGAGCTCTAATGAGGAGAAATAAAAAACGCAAATAATACAGATGAGGAAAAGAGAATGAAAAGTCTATGTCCGCTTCATCAAGAACCGCTATCATCAAAAACGTTGATCAAGAATGGATCATGCAGGGCAGAAAATTGTTCGAGAGAAGGATGAAATCAAGAGAGGCAGAATCCTGAATGAGCAGATCATGATCATGAATCGGCACATTTAAACCCCAATAATAGGAACTCCTCTTATTCGGATATGTCCTTCAAGTTCGAGGATCCCTGTGGCTGGAGAGTTGCGCGTTTGTCAACTTCCTTGATGTCGTAAAGGCTCTTCGAAAATCGCCTTGTTGCTTGCATGACCGAGAATCTGGCTCTGGGAGGTCTCGATTTTTTGGTCGGACTCGAATCATCGGCCACAGTCTTTTGACTTGGTGCCCGCAAGAGGGAAGAAGCTCGGAATATATTGAGCGACGCTCTTCTCGATTTCGCTTTGGGCGAAGGTACCTTCGACATTCTACATGGCGCTTGACTTCAAGTTTAAATAAAAAGAAAATAATAACGCGTCGTTCATCACTTGATCCTTTGAGCCGTTATATATTAGGCTTTTTAAAGAGTTCAACTCACCTCATTCTTCTTGATGGCGAAGAAGAAGTGACGCCCGTTTTGATTACGAGCAAAGGTTCTTCCATCATAGCCTTGCTGCCCGACTCGACCATAGTCTTATCTGACTCAGATGAATGAGTCCTTCCTAGGATGCGAGGACCAGAAGCACTTGTAGAAGGCGGCGGAGGTTCGGAAGTTGAGATTGGTCTCTCAGACTGTTTTTGGCGTTCAAGCCCGGATTGATAGCAGTAAAATTCTTGGTCCTCGGGTACAAACACTTCCCTGTAAGACTGAGCGTGGTGCTGTTTGGGCTCAGGCGGTGGAGTAGGTGGACTTTCAAGCAGATCTTCCGGCTTTCCACAACAGTGGAAAGACTCGTCAGAATCAGATTCTTCATCTGCGCGTTGATATCTGATAGAAAAACGGTGCATGATGTTGAAGAAGATGTCGAAAAAGATTTGGGGACTTTTGAGGTAGCTTCCCGGAGTTCGAGGTCTTGGGATGATGAGATTGGGAGTATGGTCAAGTGCAAGGAAGATTGTGAGTGTGGTGAAGGGGAAAGAAAAATTGCAAGGGGAAGGTGCGCTATTTATGATATTTCACGAAGCACTGAGACTAGACCGTGGCTATTAACTCAGCCTCTCGCGATGAAGATACTACTCTGGCTGCCTACTCAAGGGTTGCGTCAAGAGAGGTCACGTCGGGGTGTAATTTTGCCAGGTTGACCATCTATTTCCTTGAAAGCTAAGGAGACAGGTAGCTCTCTATGAAGTGCTTACCACAGCTGAATAAGCGTTCACTCGGGCCAGGAAAGCCCTTGATCTTGGGAGACATAGAGGCAACTGATGGCTGTAAATGCCCTCATGGAAGGAAAAATATGTGGGGCACATTCAAGGATCACACTATTAAAACGCTAGGCCCATTTTAAACCATTTTCTACATTCAAATATCCAAGTCGCCATACGAAATGAGTTAGAATGGCGGGTAAAATATGTTACTACATAGAAACAGTGTACCAGTATTGTGCAGGATGCATGGGGGATCTCCACTAGTGAAAAACAAATTAAAGCGTCAGTTTGTATCCGTGGAGAGCTAGAATCGAAAATCCAAAAAAAAAAAAAAAAAAAAAAATGAAGTAAAAAAAATGAAGAGGTCAGAGGAGTACTCATGCAGGGTACTCAAGAACTTTTGAGCCAAGTTTGGGGCATTTGTCTTTTAGCGCGCGCCGCAGCATTCACCCTGAAGATCGAGTCGCTGCGTGACTTCAGATCTACATCCTTGTGACACCTCTTCCAGTATGCCGTCCGTCACACTATGTACCCGCCACTTGGGTTGTCTACAGTGTACAGGCTGCCGGCCTGATATTTCGGAGTCGAGACACCGAGTCCCGACACCAGCTGGGATACATCAGAAATTGGGCATCACGAGTCATGAGCGTCTATGGTGCATACATCTGCGGCCGGTCAGCCAGCATTTTCCGTCTGATTTTGACAGGTATGTAGGGACTGACTTGTAGGGGATATCCCGGGCTCTTAATCAGATGAATAGGACTTGCTTAATAAGTTATGTGACCTTTGAAATCCAACGCCCCAGTGGAAAAACTCGCAATCAAGTTGATTCAGAGGCCATGGTAAGAATGGAACCAGAAAATTACGAAGCAATAAATTAAAGAAGGGACCTCATTGAGCTTCCATCAAAGCTTCTATGTAGACCAAGTTGGGCACCGATCAATTGACTAGAAATCGATCTATCTTAGGTAAAAAGCCTCGCCGGAAGCAAAGCGGATTGCCGAAGCCTTGAATAAAAGGTGTTGGCTAACTTTTCCTCAAGTTATGGTTTCTCAACCCCCTAATGTGGGCCATTCACAGCCTTGATTTTCTTGATTTTCTGCTTGAATTTCCACATAACAAAAAAACAACGCTACAACAAACAATCGTTCAAGGAAGCTTTCTAATGACCCTTCCTCCCACCAAGACCATCTAAACTCCTGAGTACGGTAGTACTATCTCCCCGCGCAAAATGGCTTGAATTTTTGCCTGCATATCGCACATGTCTATCTCCTGACTTGAAAGACCTAGTAGTAGTACGGCCGCTGGGTCAAAAGACAAAACTAGCAAGATCGCCCCTAGATTAAGTGTGAAAGCGGAGATCACTGCGATGCGAGAAGCCACTAATCAGCAAGCTGCTCTGAAACTGTGTGATCTTTCAAGCCAAGCCGCATGCAGCTCCTGGGTGGCAAAGCTTAAGGTAACACCGTACCTCCTCCAAATGTCTATCAAGCTGCCAAATCGACCGGAGCAGGAGAGGAAAATGGTAGTGATCAAATGGCGAATTTGATGGGATATTTGGGAGGATTGAAATCGAGGAAGTAGAGTTTATGATCCAGTCCTTGGAAACTAATTCACACAACGGTGGTAAAAAATTTAGACACTGAGTGCTAACAAGGATTGAATGTTTATGCGATACTGAGACGGCTTCAGCCGGAATCTGGATGGTCTTCAGTTGCAGCTCAAAATTGCTACCCCCGGCTTCTCCGGTCAGTGGTCACTTCTCATCTATAGATTGCAAATTTAACCGTGTCCCCTTTTACGATATGGAGCACATATTATGTGAGTGACGAAGCTCTCGATTTATTTGGGAGACATGAGTGTGCCTGGGCTGATTCCTTTGTACCCCATGACTGGTACCTGCTAAGTTGAATTCCCTTTCAACTGGGTCAACCTGAGTTTCCCCTGGTCTGGAGTTTTGAACAACTTTCACCCGGTTGTAACGGTAAGGATGAAACCTGGCCAAAAAGTGCCGGCCGGTTCAGATACGTACTGTACAGAAGATTGCAGTCTCAATCCAAACGAGGTGTTGCGAAAATCTTCTCTTGAGATTGATAGTTAAATACACGCCTATGTCGGAGTAGATCACGCTGGCGCCAATACATAATCATTTTGTCGCTCACTCACCTCCACAACGCTACTGTTGGGACTTCAACTCGTTCCGTCATCCTTCATCAGTCATTTCCACTCGGGTTCAAAGCCCTTTATTCCTCTTCAAGTCTCATCAAGCGTGATTGAATATTTCATTCTTGTTCTCTGGGGAAAGAAAGCATCACCTGATCATCCTTGGCTGCTTTTTGATCTTAGTCAAGAAGCGCTTAACTCAGGTAACGATGAATTCCAAACCATTCAAGAGCTTCAGTTCTAGGTCATTCGTGAGTTCTCGCTGCTTGTTGCTTCCAACACGCGGATCAAAACTAACTAGCCTTTCGCGCGCATCTGTCCATCAACAATGAAGAACCCTCTCAATTTGAGGTCATTTATCAAAGCTCTACCCTCCAAAAAAGTCAAGTCAAGTAATCGATCTCTTAAGTCTGAATCACTCTCAACCATTGATTTCAGCAGTTGTGTGAGTACATTAATGCCCTAAACTCTATTGTCTTCTGGCTTGTTCAATCCTCCGCTGACATCCCTTCGCGGCCGAATATAGGCGATTGAAAACCAAGTGGAGGACCAAGTTTTACATAAACGTGATCAACCAATCTCACAAGGCCATGGCCATGACGCACCACCCCAGTCGGTAACTTTGATGACTTTTTCAAAAGTCGTCGGCATTTTTGAAGAACTGGGGCCCATTCAGGAGATTCCCAAACCGCGAAGTCGGACTCGACGCAACTCATTTTTGAAATTGAAGACCAAGTATTCGGTCGAGAAGACCAAAAAAACCTCGCGACCGAATACTGCAGTCGAAGCTATAATCTCCAGTGGCCTTTTTCAACCTGTCCAGGAGACTATTTCCCCTGAAAAACGGCAAGCACAGTCCCTTAATCATCTGGTCAACTCAAGGAAGGAGCTTCTAATCAAAAAAGAAAGCGCACAACCTGTGAAGACTCCAAGTGCTCGAGAGACTCGTTTGAAATATCTTCTTTACAACCCTCCACTCGATTCTTTTGAACTACGACGAAGATTAAACAGAAAGGATGGCGACGAGAAGATTTTCTTGCCCAGACTCGATCCTAGCAGCTACGCGCTTATCATGAAAAAAGAAGAGCATCGGCGCCGAATGGAAGATTTGGTTTATTACAAAAATTCACACCTTCACAAATACAATCAAATCATCAACAATGGAGTCAGAAGCTTGAAGCTCGAAAGCATTCCAGAATCGGTCGGGAGTTGGGTAGTCTCAAAAGACCCTCGTGATCCTCGACAACGGA